CCCCAAAACCCCAAAACCCCAAAACCCCAAAACCCCTGCTGTACAAAATAGAAAGTATGAAAGTGAAAGGTTATTTGATTAAAATAAAAGTTTTAGTATAATTTTAAGGGTTAGTAATTAATTTAGCAATAATGGAGATATATCTAATCCTCCTAGCTCTCTATATGATGACTGGCATCGCAATGTTAGAGTGGTCATGGATTCAAATGAAAGTTTTTAGAGAAGTAAACGAGGATAGAGATTCTCAATACCCTCCCTATAGAAGACTCGATGTTAGAAATTGGTAAAAGTGGAAATTCTATTTTGGAGCAATGACTCTGTTACCAATTAGATTATTGCTATGCACAATTATACTTATCATTCTTTTCCTTTTTATTAAGTAAGAATTATATAAAAATTAGTAACTGTTGAAATAGACTAATAACTATTGGGCACAGCTTCAGTGATGGAAAACCATTATCAGGCTGCAGAAAGCCAATCATTAAGTTTGCATACTAATCAGCAAGCACGCTAGTAGTTTTTATCACTGGAACAAGGACTGGAAAAATTATTAAAAATGACTACAGTTATGAAGCATACCTAGGGCCAAATTATAAGAGTGATCCCCAACCAAATCATATGCCAACTTTTGTATGCAATCACACTTCATGGATGGACGTAATGATGCTCATCATTCATTACGCTCCTGCTTTTGCAGCGAAGAAGTCATTACGTAAAGTGCCTGTGTTTGGGGTTTTATGCTAGTACCTAGGATGCATATTTATTTCAAGAGGAGCTACTGAGGATTAGAGAAACAGAATTATTGACTAAATTGAAGAGAGACAGCAAGCCATTGAATACCTTGGCCAGTACCCACCTCTGTGCATATTCCCAGAGGGTGGAACTACCAATGGTAGATATATCGTTAACTTGAAAAAGGGCGCCTTCATAGCTGATAGATGCGTTCAACCTGTAGTTTTAGACTATCAGTATGATATGTTTAGCCCTGCTTGGGATATCACTCCACTATTACCTTTAGTATTTTTACAGTTTTCATTGATTATATCTTCCACATGCAATTTGATAGAATTACCTCCATTCCAGCCTAATGAATATTTGTATACTAAGCATGCAGATAAGGGCAAAGAGAAATGGGAAATATTTGCCTGGGCTGTGAGAGCAGCAATGGCTGATGCTGCTAATATGATGGTAAGTGACTAACCCTTGAGAGAAAAAATGAAGTATGAAGAGGTTCTCGGATTCAGAACACCTGCCAAAAAAGAAGCTACAGAAGCATAGCCTTTATTGCAACAACAGAGACAAGAGTAAGCTTGATAAAGAGTTTATATTTAATAAATTTAAAATTTTATTTCATCTTTGTACATTGTAACTTATTAACCTCATACAAAATTCTGCTTGTGGGGTTTTGGGGTTTTGGGGTTTTGGGG